AAAACTGATTTACTCTTAAGCGCTATGTTGGAAAGGTTTCAAATATGAAATAGTTGTTGATTCAATAGCAAAAACCTAATATATGATTGCTTCAGAAGTAACAAAGAGTTGCAATGTAGATCAGGATGTTCATTAATGAACTTATAGTAGTTCCTAACATTGTTGATCACATGCATTGTATTGTGATAACAATAAAGCCATTGCACAAGCGAATGAACTAAGGTCTCATCAATGATCTAAACATGTATTAAGACGATATAATTTGAACAGAGAGGTACTACATAGAAATAACGTAAAGAGAAGAATGAATTTTCACAAGTAATAATATTGCAGATCCATTGACAAAGAGTTGTCGCAGTATAAACATGATCTTCATGTAGACTCTTATGATATTATATATATAAGTGATTGGATCTAGTACAAGTGAGAGTTTGTAAGTGTTTTGCCCTAGATCCAATCGATTTTGGACATAAAACACTTTAATATATAGTTGATGCGATTTATGAAAGATTTATTAATTAATTAATAAATGTTCAATTGAATTAAATAATGGAATCTATAAATTCAAATCTTAGTAATTTGTTAATCGCAAGGAGTTGTGATTGTGAGATACAAATTACATATGATTAAATCTTAAATCATTCGTGGTCGTAAGTAATGACGAGATACGAATATCGTTATTGCGGATATACCATCACGTATGTCATTTCTTACTTGTGAAGTAAGTAGTTGATCCCACAAGCTAAAGTGTGGTGACACTTAAATGAACACGTGGATATTTTGTTATAGAATGAAATATTGGAGACCCGTTGAGAGATTCCACATAGATAATTATCTGAGTGTTAGTGGTTAATTTTTAATGTTCGATAGTGAAATTGGTCCTTTGACTTGAGGTGTCATAGTGCCTTATATGAGGACAGTCATGCTTTAGCAGTGTTGGATGTTGCTCCGTCAAGGACCGCTAATACGGCATCGTTCGGGTATGTCAAGAATCGTATGAAGGTTGTAAATGACCAATAGAGAATTCGTCACTCTTAGATGGTAAGAGATTACGATCCACATTTCATTCAAATAAGTCGATAACGAAATCTTTGGTCAAGGTGTACTGAGAGGTTAAAAAGGAGTTTCCGACTTATATTAACTTAATAGTGTAATGAAAGATATGATTGATAATCAGGATTGATACATTTTCATATCTCATAATTGATCGGATCATATTAATGAAGGGATTCTAGTTTCATGGTAAACGAACAAGTTTGATTTTGTCATACTATGTTATATTTTTCATCATATATATTGTCATGACACATTGCTAGATGGCAATCTGGGACGGTGAATGTGAATTTGCAATAAATTAAAATGATGTTTTAATTTATTGACTTTGATTAGATCAAGATAATAATTCACATCATTAGGTATCGTGATTGTGAACCTGATGGATTATACACAAAGGAGAATTGAAAGATTATGATTTTTCAATTAAATAATTTAACAAGCGTTCGATAAATTAATTAATCGAGTTGCTTATTTATTAGCTCGAATTAATTAATGAGATTAATTAATTCACGGACCGAATTTAATTAAATAAGTTGATTAAATATTGGACCGGGTTAACAAATGGGTCAAGCTCGTTTGAGCTTATATATATAAGCAACTAAGGTTTACAATTTAGTAGAGATTGATTCTTCTTGCTAGCACAAGAAAAAAATTATAATCTTACAATCCTATTCTCTGTGTTGATCACTGTAGGAGGCTGGACAATTGGACAGTTGTGAGTGACAGATCAAGATTGTTGGAACGAAAGAATAACAAAAGAGTTTGCAAAATCAAAGCAAGAATTACAAAGGAGTTTGTAGAATCAATGAGAGGTACAATTTCTATCTAAACATAAAGATATCCTTGATGGGAATTAAAATTTACTTTATTGTTCGCTACAAATGATAAGTATATTCCCAACAATTTTTTTGGTCAGTACACTTTGCTGGGGACATAAAGCATCTCTACAACCTACTTCCTTTGTTTACATTTAATAATAATAATTAATAGCCCTTTAAATTTCTCACAGTTGATTGTATGTAAACCACTAAAAAGCTTTCTTGTGGGGTTAATAATGCAATGGACCCATTAGATTAATGCAAGTTGCTTTCGTCAAATCCCCTAATTAGCTTTTAAAATGGTTACTCATTTGATAAAGATGAATAAGTGAAATTTAATTTTTCTGAATCATTTTTCATTATCATGGCTTTCCGTGACTCTGGAAGCAGTGCTCTTATCTGTTATATTCTTTCTCATAACCCTTTAGCATCTTCATTGTATAATATCATAAGCAATTAGTTTAATTTTGAATTAGGAATGCAATTCTAGAAAATTCATAAGAATCTATATGGATATGAATTTTTTATTTTTTATTTTTGGATGAAAACATCAACATGAATTAAACAGTATTTAAACGGATCTAAAATAATTGAAAAATTATAAGAACACTAAGAACACAAAAGAAAATGTGGAAAAACAAAAACAAAGACTCAACAACATAAAAAAAAAATGGATATAACCTTGATTTTGGAGCCTGACTTTGATACCAAATGACGCGAACCTGATTAGCACAGTTGTTATCGAACCCATATAGGGGTGTAAATGAGCCGAGCCGAAACTCCCCGCTCGTGCTCGGCTCGAGCCTTTTCAATACGGGCTTTTTTTTGCCTGAGCCGAGCTGAGCTGGCTCGACTCAAAAAAATAAAGCTCGACCCAAGCTTTTGGCTCGAGCATTACCGAGCCGAGCCGACTCGTGTTTTGGTGTCTTTTTTTTTTTAATTTTTTTTCCTCTTAATTGCTGCCCAGCTGTTGGCAGCTAGACAGCTTGTTGGCAGCAGGTTAACTGCTGCCAACAGGCAGCTATAAAGCTGCTGCCTCAACAGTCAGCTACAAGCTGACTATTAAGGCAACACAGTATAGGCAGGCAGGCAGGCCTTTTTTTATTTTTTGTTATTTTTTTTAAAATTAAACGGGCTGGCCCGTCAATCCATGGGCCGGCCCGGGCTCGGGCGGATGCCCCATTTTGGGGCTCGGCTGGTCCGAGCCACGAGCCAAGCCACGGGCCTCCCGAACCACCAAGCCTTTTTGACATCCCTAAACCCATAGGAATTGACACCGGATTCCAAGAAAACCAAGAACAAGGTTTTAGATTCAACCCACAATATTGGAACGAAGCAACCCAATAAGAACGACGCTGTGCAAGACCTCTTGATTACGCAACACGATGAATTTCACGCGAATTTATGAATTTGACTCAATAATTACGAACCAAACAACCAACACAGTCACATGGACATGCCGACCTTTTGATTACAAATAATTATAAAAATCACACATGTTGTTTAAACACCACAAGAACAATTAATTCTTGATAAGTTCGATAATTAGTCCCATCCAGAACAAAGGATTGAAGCAAAGTTTCGAGAGAGAAAAGTCTCAACTTTTCATAGTCAATTTCTCCAATTGATTACAATGAAGATAATCCCTATTTATACTAGAAATCTAAAATAATATTAAAAAGGAATAAAACTATTAAAAACCTAATTTGAAAAAAGAAGGTAAATCACGTCCCAAAATATATCAGAGATGTAAAAAGATTAGAATTCTAACTAAAATAGGAAATTACCAAAATCTGGAATTCCCGAATCACATCAAATATCATGGTCAAATTTGAGCCACTAACGTATAAGGATGACATTTTAAAAATGGATCATGCTTCAGCGCCAGAAGGGTCGACAGAGACTTGACAGGAAAGACATAGTTACAGGGGTCGACATTTTTTATTCACAACGAGACCCACAGAAGCTGGGAGAGGCGATCAGCCCTTCTTGGCTTTTTTTTTGTGGCACTTTAGCATTATCCTAGAAAAAATTGTTGAAAGGAACAAGTCTTCGTCAGCTACGCTAGAAGACATTGACTTCTGACACTGAAGCATGGTCCTTTTTTTCTAAGGATAATGCTAAAGTGCCAGAAAAAAAAAGGCTAGAAGACATTGACTTCACCACTCAAGTCATTTATCAAGCAGTGCGTAGGGACCCCTACATTTTCCATAATTGCATTTCAATTTAATTATATAAAATGTATTTTAATTTTACTCATTGTTATAGTAATATTTCTAACTTTTTTAGTAGCATTTATATACTTAATGTTCTAATAATTAGCACATTTTACCCTTAATTATGATTTTCATACGAAAAGTCCGTCAAGAAGAACAAATAGACTTATTTGCTCCTTGTATTTTTAAATAAATAATTACAAAATTATAATTAAATATTTGCACAAAAACCCATCATTAAGAAAATAAGCGATTTACTAAACATACACACATATAGGTGCATGTTACCTCATACACAAATGACCCGTTTCATAAAGTAAATCATACAATACTATCAATTTGTCAATTATGTCCAATGTCATATGTCTAATTGTTGTAATGGTCGCAAATGACATGTTTGATAAATTTAATCATAAATAATATATTGAATATGTCTAATTTCGTTTAATATTGTATACCAAATAGGAAAAAGAAAAAAAGAAAAGAAAAAGGAGTTCAAGGAAAGATCTTTGAATTTTATGGTATTAAGTGTGAATTCACAATCTAGAAGAGTGGAATATGACAATTTATCCGTGTTTGATGGGAGAATTATACAGTCGACTGTGTAGACTGAATGTTCTCTTTGTTAAATTCCCCTTCAATTATTAAGCATCCGTTTGGGCTCCATTATTTGCCCATTTTTTCCTTCTCATATTCAGAATTTATGGTCCCCACGCCTATATATCTTGGCATTTGTCTTGACTTTTCAACAGATGTTTCACTTAAATTTCCCAATCTGCCCTTGATATGTTCTTGTGGAGCATTTCAACAATTGCATTGTGTAGTTGAGGGTAATTTTATCCAATGCATTTTCAATGGTACAGTGATGGGAAATTGACAAATGACAAGGCAACTACCTTTGTTATTTTTTAAATTGATTCTTTCACTAGAGAATAATGAGATTATAATGTGCTCCAAAGGGGGCTAAAACATAGACTGCTCCTTTCTCCTCTTCATTTTCACAATCATGGCTCTTTGCAACTTCTGGAGTAGAGTGTCTGTTTTTTTATATCTTACAATCCCTCTCGCAGCTCCACTGTCCTTTAAGTTCCCTACTATCAAACCTCATGACATGAACATAAATGTCACTGGTGATGCGTATATCTCTTCACAAGGCCTTCAGCTCACGTCAAATGAGAGCAATAAGGCAGCAGCAGTATGGGCAACGGGCCGTGCGACTTACATAAAACCCTTGCACCTCTGGGACAAAGCTTCAGGTAACTTGACAGATTTCTATACTCATTTCTCCTTTGTTATTGATGCCAGTGCCAATGCCACTGATGGTGCTTGCTCTGGGGGAGACGGATTCGCCTTTTTCTTGGCTCCTTTCGGTTCAAGCATAACTGGGGATTCGTCCGGTAGTGGCCTTGGCCTTGTTCACCGTGACTCCCCAGAAAAGAAATCTGGTGATCCTTTTGTGGCAGTGGAGTTTGATACTTTTAAAAATGGATGGGATCCAGAGGGTTTACATGTAGGTATTGATATCAATTCACTAATTTCCGTAACCAATGTCACATGGTCGAACAACATCACTGAGGGAAAGGAAAACGAGGCTTGGATTAGTTATAATTCCGCTTCGAAAAATCTTAGTGTAAACTTCACAGGTCACATGAGTAATCTGAACAAAAATGGTCGCCTCAGCTATACGGTAGATTTGACAATATACTTACCTGAGCGGGTGAGTGTTGGCTTCTCAGCAGCTACAGGTCTTTGCTTGGAGAAACATAACGTTAAGTCCTGGGAGTTCAATTCAATGGTAACTAATAATCAAGGTCCTATTAATACCGATCCTTCCATGGTGCCAAACATCAGTCCACAACCTAGTTACCCAGTGAGCCTTGGGGGAAAGAAAACAAAGGGAGGTTTAGTAATTGGTTTGATTGTTGGTCCGTCTGTTTTGGTCCCTGTTTTGGTTTTGATTGGTTACAGTATATGGAGGTACAAAAATAGGAAGGGAAAAATTGATGAACTTTCCTTAGATATAACAATGGACGCGGAATTTGAAAGGGAATGTGGACCTAATAAGTTTTCATATGGAGAACTGGTACGTGCAACAGACAATTTTGCTGACGAAAAAATGCTTGGAGGAGGAGGATTTGGTTGGGTTTATCTAGGGTATTTGAGAGATTCAAATTCTTACGTTGCTGTGAAGAGAGTGTCAAAGGATTCAAAACAAGGGATGAGGGAGTATGCCTCAGAAGTGAAGATTATCAGCCGATTAAGGCACAGGAATCTTGTACAACTTCTTGGTTGGTGCCATGAGCAAAGAGAGCTACTACTTGTTTACGAATTCTTGCCAAATGGTAGCTTAGATTTACATCTGTTCAAGGGAAAATCGTTGTTGACCTGGGAAACAAGGTACAAAATTGCCCGAGGCTTGGCTTCAGCTTTGCTGTATCTACACGAAGAGTGGGAACAATGTGTGGTGCATAGGGACATAAAATCGAGTAATATTATGCTGGATTCGAGCTTCAATGCAAAACTTGGGGATTTTGGTTTGGCAAGGCTTGTTGATCATGAAAAGGGATCACAAACAACTGTCTTAGCAGGCACTATGGGATATATGGCCCCTGAATATTTAATCTCTGGCAAGGCAAGCAAAGAATCAGATGTCTACAGCTTTGGAGTTGTTGCGTTGGAAATCGCATGTGGAAGAAAACCCATTGACGTTAAGATGCAGGAGAATCAAGTATGCATGGTGGAGTGGGTTTGGGACCTCTACGGAACCGGAGACCTACTTAAAGCAGCTGATCCAAAACTATGTGCAGACTATAATGAGCAGGAAATAGAATGCTTGATGATTGTCGGGCTTTGGTGTGCTCACCCTGATATCAGTCAGCGGCCATCAATAAAGGAAGCTATTCATGTCCTTAACTTTGAAGCTCAGTTGCCCCTTCTCCCATCAAAGTTGCCAGTGTTGACATATTTTGCTCCGCCACATATAGTTACAATATCTTCGGTTTCACAATCCGGCAATGTCAGTTTACTCCAGCCTTCAAGTTACCGTTCTGATGTCTCAAATTCCACATCATCTTCTGCTCCTTCTGCATATGCATCTGCATCCACATCTGCATTTACATCTACATCTGCATCTGCATCTCCATCTGCATCCGCATTCACATCCGCATCAGCCCTTCAGTAATCTGTAGACGGATAAAAGTCTTTTATAGTGAATATATTTTCAAAGTCTTCATAATTCAACTTCTTTGGTTGGTGAATGAAGGTGAAATCTTGCTGAAAGACGCAATTTTTTTACGCTGTTACTGTTATCTGTATGCGTCCTGATGCTGCCGGATTCTAATGCCCAAATTATAGGCTGAATATATCATCTTGCCATGCAAGTATTTTTGGGCAAACCAACTCAACTCTAGAATCTAACTCAAACAGATTCTTAAGCTCCGCTCCATTTTATTAATTCTTATTTCATTCGTTGGCTCACCACATTATATTGTAATCAGAATTAATACTGGGTGAACAAGGTTATGGTAAATTAAGAAAGGTTTAGGATATTGTTTATCATTGTTTCGAAACTAACAATACACTCACATTATGTTATCTAGTTGGCTTTAGAAAGTATAAAGACGAAATCATATTAATCTACTTTATTCATTCACGTATAGCATAATTAATCTAGTAATATTAACTCTAGCATGGTTTTTTATATGGTCTAATCCGACGCATGGAGGATTAATGCTTGTGGAGCGTGAATTAAGGCTTGTTTGGCACGGCTTTTACTTTTGTAGAATAATTTTCTTAAGGAAATTACTTTAAGAGTGTGTTTGATTACATTTATTTTCCTTGGAAAATATCAATTTTCCATCCAAATTCCTACTTGGAGTGTTTGATTGCTATTTTTTTCCATGGAAAACATTTTCCAACTTTTGAAAATATGCCTAATTTTCCTTGGATAGAGGTGGTTTTTATTTTCCACAAAAGATGGAAAATATTTTCTTTTCTAAGTGATATTTTCCATGTCAATCAAACACACTCTAACTTCTTCCAAAAGTTACTTTTGTCTCAAAATCAGTGTTTGATTTTTCAAAAACCATACCTAACGGACCTTTAGTTATTTATATAAATTTTAAAGCAACACATTTAGAATTTTATAATAGTTTCTGTGCAAAAGATTATCATGGTTCTATATATTTTTAACCAATTTTGCTAGAACATATGAATTAAAATATAATTATTATAGTATTACTTTGCCTGTATTTATATTTATACGTGGTATAGTTGAATAATTTCACGTATTTTCTACTTTCGAACCAACGAACAGAAAATGAAATATTTAGAATATAATAATCACATTTTGGCCAATATGATGACCTCAAAGCATAAACATATAGAATATTGATGATCAAAACATGTATGTATTTCTTGTTGAAGTTTGCAAATTTATAGAAATCAAATAAAGGGTCTACAACAAAAACGGGGTTGGTGCTTAGTAGAAGTCAAGAGAGACTTAGATACAAATTGGAAAAATCAGGATAGACTTTTTTCTTTTTCTTTTTTTTTTACTTTCAATACTATTCTTTGTTTGAACTTTTTCACAAATGCATAATAGCCTCTCTCTCTCTCTCTTCTTTTTTTTTTTTTTTTTTTTTTTTTTTTGGCACTACAAATTATTTCAACAGTCAAAGCAAAACTTTATTTCAATGAACAATTTATATCTTTAGAACTTCTGCAGAATTTTGCTGCCGTTTGTCTAATTCTGTGCATATTACATACTAAACATTCCGTAAATATTATAATTGTTACTTGTTACCATTAAAGTTTTTTAAACAAAATTTATTTTGAAGCATGTTTCATGCAATGCGATGACTATAATAGGAACTGTCCTGACAACAGGTTCGCTATATATCTATGTGGGGGAAGCAGGGATTTAGGGCCTGCTTGAGAGTTTCACGGTACTGGTTATGAGCGTTTTTTAGAGTAGAGGTTTTGAGCGTTTATGAGTGGAGCGATTTTGAGCGATTTTAGTAGCGGTTTTTAAAATTATCTAACCATGATTGGGAGTTTATTACCCACCGGTTCTAGAAGTTTTTTAAAAGAACAAGATTACATATATGCCCTTTAGTAAAATTTTCTTTTATATGAATTTTTTCTTTAACTTATAAGTGATATTTTATTTATAAATAATTTTTTTTTTACATATAAGTTTAATATTAATTTAAAAAATTAAATAAATTTAAATATTTACTTAAAATTTTAAGTTTATATTTTTTCTTATAAGTAACTTTTACAATTATAAGTGAATTTTTTCTTATAAGTAACTTTTTTACATTTTACAAATATTTTTTGTCTTATTAGTAGTATTTTTATTTTTAATAATTTTTTTACATAAAAGTGATTTTTTAATTATAAATTATTTTTAATTATAATATAATTTTTCTTATCCTACAAGTAATATTTTACTTATAAGTATTTTTTAATTATAATATAATTTTTTAAAATTATAAATATTTTAATTTGTAATTCAGTTTTAAATAAAATATATTGGTTGGAAATAATTATTTTATAAAAGGGTAAAATAAGAAAAGAACAAGAGAAACGGCCAAAACTTGTCGATTTGGCTAGTTGGAAGAACCGTCCAAACATACACTACACTGGTTTTGGGTCTTTTTTAAAACGCCCAAAATCGATGTCCTAAAAAACTAACAAGTGTGGGTTTCTCCAACCGCTCATAAACGGTGCCACTCCAAACCGCTCAAAATTGACGAAAATAAAACTCCAAAGCAGGCCCTTAGGGAAGGGATAGGCTGCATCCCAAATGTTAATTAAAAAAAATTATGTAATTTTTTTTATCTGTGAATTTTATTTATTTATTTTGCATATTAGCCCGTCCTGAATTTTTTCCTGGATCCAAGTTTCTCTAAATTGATGCGCGTTCCATGTATGCAATGTTGAAGACTTAAACTCTAGATAGAATACTCTGCAATATTTTGGAGAATAACTCTTATTGAATTCAAAGAAAGCTTTCGGCTAATATAGCCTTACAAATTGAAACAGGAAATAAGAAAATAACAGCCCACGTTCTACACTCCTATGAACGTGGTATTCTAGTTGAAGACTGAATCAAACAACAGAGCATGACCCTAACAAATATGGTTTATTAACAGAAATATAAACAAACAACTAAAAGACTTTGACTTCTTCAACAATTTCCTCCCCTAAACTGATTTGCAGTCTGCAAACAGTTTATCTCTAGTACTGCACATGCACCGAGCTACTCTCGAAGCCTCAAGAACACATCAAGTTTCAATGGCTTGGTCATAACATCAGCAACTTGATTCTCTGTAGCACAATGAACAAGTTCCAAAACTCCATCTTTAACAAGGTCACGAAGAAAATGGAACCTTATATCAATATGTTTGCTCCTCCCATGAAGCACAGGGTTTTTTGACAGCTTTGTAGTAGAGCAATTATCACAAAACACTATAGTACTTTCCTTTTGAATGTGACCAAGCTTTTCTAGTACTTTCCTCATCCAAACTCCCTGGCAAGCACACGAGGCAGCAGCTACATACTCTGCCTCAGTGGTGGATAAAGTCACAATTGGTTGTTTCTTCGATGACCAAGCTACAGCTCCAGTTCCAAGCTTGAAGATGTAACCAGAAGTGCTTCTTTGATCATCTAAGTCACCTGCATAGTCACTGTCAATGTAACCCAGCAAAAACCCATCTTTACCCCTCTTGTAAAAGATCCCCAAACCCACAGTGCCTTTTACATATCGAAGCACTCTCTTTGATGGTTTTAAATGCAGTTCAGTGGGACTCTCCATGTATCTGCTAATTAAACCAACAACATACATTAAGTCAGGCCTTGTTGCAGTTAGATACATAAGACTCCCAACTATTTGTTTGAAAGCAGTGGCATCAACTTTAGCTCCCTTCTCATCCTTCATCAACTTAAATCCTGGTACAATAGGGTTTTTGACTGAGGTTCTATTTGCTAGCCCAAACCTTCCCAACACGTCTCGAGCATACTTCTTTTGACTGATGTAGATCCCATCTTCATTTTGTAAGACTTTAACTCCAAGGAAATATCTCATCCTTCCAAGATTAGTCATTTCAAACTCGAGCATCATAGATTTTTTAAACTTCTTAAACATCTCCACATCATTACCCGTAAATATAATATCGTCAACATACAAACTAACAATAAGAAGTTTACCTTCCTTACCGGACTTGATAAATAGTGTATGCTCAAAACTGCGCTTTTCGAAGCCCTCCTTCACAAAATAAGACTCGATCCGACTGTACCACGCCCTTGGAGCTTGCTTAAGACCATAGAGCGCCTTGCTTAGCTTGTAGACCTTATCTTCCTCCTCTTTTCTTTTGTAAGGTTGATCCACAAAAATGTCCTTGGTCAATTCACCATGCAAGAAGGCACTCTTCACATCTAGTTGGAAGATATTCCAACCCTTCTGAGCTGCAAGAGCAATCACCAATCTGATAGTGTCCCATCTTGCAACTGGGGCAAACACCTCATTATAATCAATTCCACGCTCTTGTGCATACCCTTTAGCCACGAGACGAGCTTTACACTTGTCCACAACTCCATGCTCGTTGAGCTTTGTTTTAAACACCCATTTCACACCAATTTTCTTGGCTCCAATAGGTTGAGTGGTTAGCTTCCAAGTCCCATTCCTTTCGATAGCTTCAATTTCCAAATCCATAGCTTCTTTCCACTTTTGACTTTTGACAACCTCCTGGAATGTAATAGGGTCGGTAGCAACAAACATGACACCATCTTCTTCTTCAGACAGACCTAAGTCTTCACCACTAACATAGTCTTCCAACCAAGGAGGTCGTCTTCTAGTCCTCTCCTCATCCGAGCTTTGTAAATTTTCATCAAGAGGCTCATGTGATGATGAGCTAGCTCCACTTTCTTTTTCTTCAAGCTCACTGCCCTCACCTTAATCATCATCTCCCCATTCTAAAACGTCAAGCCTTACTTCTTCTGCACTTCTGTCCCAATTCCAGCAATCATTTTCTTCAAAATCTACATCCCTGCTCACCACAATACATTTAGCAATAGGGTCATAAAGCCTATTGGCCCTTGATTCCTCACTCCTTCCCAACAACACACACTAAAAACTCTTATCAACTAACGTCACCCTCTTGTTGTCAGGAATGTATACATGTGCAACACATCTAAACACTCGAAAATAGTCTACTGTAGGCTTGATACCGCTCCAAGCTTTTTCTGGAGTCACATCCTTTAAGGCCAACGTTGGGCTTCGATTTAACACGTGGACACTCCACTTCGCAGCTTCTGGCTAAAATATTTTAGGAACCTTCTTCTCAGACAACATACTTCGAACCATATTCATTAAGGTTCGATTCTTTCGCTCAGCAACCCCGTTTTGCTAGGGTGTATAGGCTGCCGTCAACTGCCTTCTAATACCATTATTTTCACAAAAATGATTGAACTCAGAAGATGTAAATTCACCTCCCCTATCCGTGCGCAAGCATTTTATGAATTAACCAGTTTCCTTCTCAACAAGTTGCTTGAAAATTTTAAACACGCCAAATGCTTCTGACTTTTCACACAAGAAGTAAATCCAAGTTTTGCTGCTAAAGTCATCAATGAAGCTAATCAAATACCTCATTTTGCTGCTTGACATTGGTTAGATCGGTCCACAAATGTTAGCGTAGACTAGCTGCAGCCTTTGAGAAGCCCTCCATGAGCTTTTCCTTGGTATAGTCCTTTGGTGTTGTTTTCCCACTAGGCAATCAGTGTATATTTTGCTCGGAATCTTGCATAAAGGCATACCCTTCACCATCTTCTTATATTGTAGCATTCTCAAGCTCTTAAAATTTAGATGACCAAGCCTGCAGTGCCATAGGTGTGACACATCTTCTGAGGCTGTTTGAAAACAAGCAGAGACACAAGGTAGTGCAGTAGCTAGTAGGACGAACATTCTATTTGCAGACATTGTGCTCTGCTTGGATGATACAACTTACACATTCCTTTCTTGAAGTTGTCCAATGATGAGAAGGTTGTTCTTTAACTCTGGTATGTAGAACACTTGTGTAATCCCACCAACCTCCATCCTTATGTTTCCTTTACCACTGACTGCCATATTGGTGTCATTCCCAAGTTTTACAGAATGTCTGAAACTTTCATCAAGGTGTGAGAACCATTTCTTGTTCCCACTCATATGGTTACTACAACCAGAGTCGAAGAACCACACATCCTCCCTTCTCGAGTTGTTAAGTTCCACATATAACATTAATAGCATCTCATCTTCCTCCCTCAACTCAACATAGTTTGCATTATTTTCCCAACTTGGACACTCGTATTGAAAGTGTCCTAGTTTGTGGCACTTGTAACATTCCACTATTTCTTTGTTGAAAGGCTGTCTTCCTCTGCCTCGACCTCTTCCTCTATAAGCTCCACGTCCCCTTCCTCTACTCCAACTCTGCCCTCATGTGAGACTTTGAGTACTTGCTCTTCACCATTTTTATGCCCATTCATCCTTTGCTCATGCACTAGTAAGCTACTTTGTAACTCATCGATTGTTAGAGTGTCCAAGAGTAAAAAATAATTTATAATTGTAAAGTAATTACTTATAAGTAAAAAATCACTTTCATAAAAAATTATTAAAAATAAAAATACTAATAATAAGATAAAATTTATTTCTAAAATGTAAAAGTTGCTTATAAGTAAAAAATTAGCTTAAAGTTATTTAAAAGTAAAAAATAACTAATAATTGTAAAAGTTGCTTATAAGTTAAAAAATATGAACTTAAAACTTTAAGTAAATATTTAAATATATTTAATTTTTTAAATTAAATATTAGCTTATATTTAAATTAGATTATCTATAAATAAAATATTATTTAAAAAAAAAAAGAAAAAAAAAGGAGAGATCACACTGAGACTTATAGTCTTATGGAGCGATCAAGTCTCTGTCACATAGACTCCCTTTTTTTTCCTCCGTTTCTTTGAATTTTTTTATTAGTAATGTTTTTATTTGTTGATTACAGATTAATTTTACAAACGGTCACTGAACTTAACTCAAAATTTGAAAACGGTCACTGAAATTTTAGAATGATTTCACTAATAGTCACTCTATTAAGTTTAGGGCCGTTACAATTTTAATTCAAACTTAAAGATCCAAAACAAGTGAATACAAAACCTTTAGGACCTCTAAATTAGATATATTTTTAACAACAATCTTCAAAAAGAATTAATAATAATAATAATAATAATAATAATAATAATAATAATTCTTAACAATTAAACAGTGAATCGTCTTCTACACCCTACGGAGCCGGCATCTTCAAAGCCAAATCCGACCACCATACCGCCGGATAAACCTATCACACCACCAATACCTCCTCATCCCATTCTACAATCTTATACCAACAAACAGCCTCAACGGATCAAAAATCAAATGAATCTCAGACTCAAAAACCCATCCCCACGCACGGTTTTACCTTCAACTCCGGCCAATCCATCATCACCCATGCCAAAACTCCATCACAGGCTGTTAGTACTCACCAAGAGGCACAAGTACATGGTCCCATATCTTCGCGAAACAACTTAAATCAGAAACGAACCGATACGAGTACGAAGGCAGCGAACAGCGAACTTTCTTCCCCAATTCCAGGCACCGGCCTCAACAACTACAGTCGCGCACCACCACCATTACATTCTATTCATCATGGAGAACAAGATGCACATATGCGTCCTCACCAATTTATCTCGAATCAGCCAATTGGTCTCCATACACCGCAAGCTGGTGGCTCGATTTCTTCAAATCGGGGGCAGATTTTGAGCAAATTAACCATTGGATCCAGCAGGCCCAAAAACATCAGGATGCACCTCCAATTTGATCGAAAGTAATCTTGAAAATATCATCTGCAGCTCTCTTCAATTACAGGAGAAAATGTTTTGAGGCCCAGTTCTTCTCGTCCGGGTTTTGTGTAGGGGGTTTTCTGAAATTTGCACTTGAGGTCTCAATGTTTTGTATTCAAGTGTTTTGGCCCTTTAAGTTTGAATTAAAATCAGAATGGCCTAAACTTAACAAAGTGACCACTTGTAAAACCGCCCTAAAACTTTAATGACCGTTTCTACAACTTTGTAACTTTAGTGACCATTTTGAAATTTTGAGCTAAGTTCAGTGATCGCTTTTGAAATTAACCTAATTTTTTATTGTCACTATTTTATTTCTAACAAATCACTTTTATGTAAGAAATTATTAAAAAATAAAACTACTAATAATAAGACAAAAATATTTGTAAAATGTAAGATGTTATTTATAAGTATAAAAAAATCACTTCTTCAAGTTATTTAAAAATGAAAAAATAACTTATAATAGTAAAGTACTACTTATTTCCAACTAATCACTTTTATCTAAGAAATTATTAAAAAAATTAAAAATAGACAAAAAAAATTTGTAAAATATAAGGAGTTACTTTTAAGTAAAAAAATTCATTTCAAGTTATTTAAAAGTTAAAAAAAAAAAACTTATAATTGTAAAGTAACTGCTTATAAGTAAAAAAAAATCGAGTGAATTGTCCAAATGGTTACTAAACTTTGCAAAAAGTTTTCAAGGGGTTACTGAACTTTAAAAATCATTTAAATGGTTACTAAACTTTGCAAAAAATTTCTACGGGGTCACTGAACTTTAAAAATCACGTAAGTGGTTATTGAACTTTGTAAAAAATTCCACGAGATCACTGAACTTTGCAAAAGGTTTTCACGAGGTCACTGTATTCAGTGATCTCGTGAAAACCTTTTGTAAAGTTTAATGATCATTTAGGTGATTTTTAAACTTCAGTAACCCCGTAAAAATCTTTTGTAAAGTTCAACGATCATTTAGGTGATTTTTAAAGTTCAATAATTCCTTGAAAATTTTTTACAAAATTTAGTGACCATTTGAGCAGTTCACTCAAAAAAATCACTTTTATGTATATGTAAAAAATTATTAAAAAATAAAATAATAATAATAATAAGACAAAAATATTTCTGAAATATTCATTTCAATTAATTAATCTCTCTCATTTTCCTTTGCTTCATTAAATTATAAACAAGCAAAAAAATACATGAACTTAAATAAATTGTTTGCAATAAGAGCCATGAAGGGAAAAAAAAAATAGCCCCCCCCCCCTCCAAAAAAAAAAAAAAACCTATGCTTTTATCTTCCTGTCGTGGATAATCAGAGCTACATGATATTCTATGTTCTGTATAATGAAACCAGCATTATATTAGAACAGGTTTCCTGCTCAAGTCTCCATTTATAAATTCAGGCAAAAGTCAAGGGAAACATTAATTTCAACAATATATTCATAACTATTAATCATTATTATCTACACATTTGGTGGGATGTACTACCATTCCTATTTATAAACCACTTATAAATTTGCAAAACAGAGGCTGATTTAAGTTTTTATATTGAGTAATTTCTAACTTTGGCTACATAATATACATAGATAAGATATGAAACAATCTACTGATGTTCCATCTGTTTAACCAATCACTTCCTTGTTGTTTCCTACAATTTTGTGACATCGAGGAGGAATTTTTTTTTTTTTTTTTTTCCCCCTTCATATAAGCTTCTTCCCTTTGCTTTCTGCCATTTACCGTGGCAATAAACAAAAAAAAAGGGTAAGATGTCCACTTTCTTGTGGGAATAGTGGCAATCGGCCCTTCTACCGGTTGATAATTGTCCTTTGTCCAGGTTATTCATTTTTTAAACAACAATAAAAACTTTTAATTTCCAGTTTTCCCTTTTACCCTTAAGCCCTATGGGAAATAAAAGGCTCTCTCATTTCTCTTTCTCAACAGGCGAAGAGGACGAAGCAACAACCGGAAGAAGAAAATGAATGGTGCTTTCAAACTTCAACCTTCAATAACTTAAATGGTAATTTCTGTACCTATCTAATTTAGACGACAAGCAGTGTGCATCACCTGAGGAAATATTCAAGGAGCGAGGAAGATTAAGCAAAAATTCACATTTTTTGAAGGTAAAAACTAGAAATGTGAGAACGTCATAAGCTACGTTTTGTTTGAAATATCTCTTAATTTGATAATTTTGTTTCTTAAGGTTGCTAGTTTTAATCCAATATGAGATTTTTCTTCAATCTGAAATAATATTCTTATTATAGATTGTTTTGTTGGACAAGACTAAGAATATGATCTTTGGGAAGAGTTGGGCTTTTTAGAGGTCCTCTTTATCTTTGTTGCCCATAGACTTGAACGGGATGTTTACTTTGCTCAGTAATGATGTCATTTGTAGATCAGCTTTCGGGAGAAAGTAAGTGAAACATAATCTAGGAAGAAATTTTTCAGAGTGGTAAGTAAGGGACAAGAGCTACTGGCTAATCTTAGTATTGGTGAATTTATTCCATGGATTTCATGGATTAACAGATTGAATGGTTTCGATTATAGAACAGAGATATTGCATAAAGAAATGAACTGATTCAAGAACACTTGGGTGAAACACGGCGTGGAAGTAAAGAGAACATTCTTGATATTTTACTTTTGCCTTTTTCCCTCGTTATGTTAATTGCTGGAAATTGTCTAATTTTGAGTATTAAGTTTGCCAATTTTTGTTACTGCTTCTTTGTATTATAGTGTGATATATATTTTGAATTGAGAAAAAAAAAATCATATTATAGTTTAAAAATTCAGGGGAAAGTGTATGTGATGTGATCTGGGTTCGGTGCAAAATCCTCCATTATTCGGCAATGGTTGGAGGTTGGTTAATATCCAGATTCAAGCTCAACTGGAGGCTGAATGAAGGTGGTGAATGCAATTAATTGCATGATCAAACTATGGAGCTCAACAGCGTCGAAGCTTGCAAGGAATTAATGATTGTAGAAGGGAGATTTAAGGGCGAGATCGGGACTTCAAGAGTTAATAAAACTGGCTACTTATGTGTTCTTGCTAGGGAGTTTAATATAGTGAAGATCACAAGCCAAAGCATGAAGTTGATGTTGGCAGTGGCAACTGAAGCAAGCTGGAACAATATGGGTTCGTGCGATACTAACAAACAGAAACAGGAACCAAAGCCAACAGCTATGCGACCGCGTAGTATTGTTGCCATGCGGCTGCATACATCAAGCCAGAAGACCGATTGGTGGAATTAAACACTTCAGTGCGACCGTAGCACACTGAACCATGTGGTCGCACCTCTATAAATCAGGAACGATTTCTTCAATTTCGGAAACTGGTACTACAATTCCAATCTTGCACATCTTTTTGGCATATATTTTAATGTTAGTTTCTTTTTTAAATTAGGTTTTTAATTTTTTATTCCTTTTTAATTATTTTAGGATTTTAGTATAAATAGTTTTTCCTTCTTCATTATAACTTGGACTTTGACATTGAATTAATGGAGATTTTCTCAGGAGGCTTTATGCTTCAAAATTTATCGAACTTATCGGGGTGATTTCTCGTGGTGTTCAACCTAACAAAGTGAGATTCGTAAATTGGGTAATCACGGGGTCAAGGTATTCTCGTAATTATCTTGATTTCTGATTCGATAGTTTATTGAATTGAGCTTTTAAATTTCAGATTTTCGTTTCTTTAATTGTGTGATTAAAAGGTCTATATGTCCTATTGACTGCGTGGGTTGTTTAATCCATTATTTTGAGTCAAATTACATAAATCATGTTGTTTGGAACTTTCCTGGGTTTGATTCAAGTTCGTTTTGTGGGTTCTGTAGTGTTTGCTATGCGAATTCGCATCAGCATGATGTTTCATAACGGGTGAATCCTCATCCAGGTGGTGAGCACCCACTTTTGAATCTTGCTGGCAAAGATACAACTGACACATTTGTTGCTTTTCATCCACGTAGTGCTTGGCAATATCTTGATAAATTCTTTAATGGGGTTTACTTAGAAGATAATTCTATTTCTGATACATCTAAGGATTATAGGAAGCTTGTTTATGAGTTTTCAAAGATGGGGCTTTTTGACAAGAAAGGGCATATTGTTTCTTCACTATGTGTTTGATAATACTCCTTTTTGCTGTGAGTGTTTATGGTGTTCTTTGCTGTGAGAACACGCTAGTGCATTTGATTTCTGGTGGTTTAATGGGATTTCTTTGGATCCAGAGTGGTTGGTTTGGTCTGGTCACGACTCTGGGCATCACCAGATTATGTTAACACCATGTTTTAACAGATTTGCTCAAGTTCTTACGGCAAATTGCTCAAAAGGGGAAAAAAACTAGGATTGAAAATTGATTGATTTATTGAAATAGTATTAGCACTTAGATTGGAAAATGTGAATCTCCTAGTATTCTGCTATATGTTTATTTTTCTAACTCTTCAAGGCTTTGGTAGTTGAATTTTTGAGGAGCTTTTCATTTATTTACTTATACTAGAAAAATCTTTCCTTGAAACCAAGTGATCGATGCCCCAGATTGTACTGGAACTTAATTTGCATATTCTTTCACAGGTTATAGTGGAATTTAATAAGTTTTAGAGATCTTGTCAAATAAATACTTTTAATATTTTTTTTTGTTCCACTCCGCCTCTATAATTTGTTCCATCCTTTACTTAAAAACTAAAAATCTAATAATCTTATGCAGTTTGCAGGATGGAGTACATACTCAACATTGATGATCGATGTGACACAAAGGTCACAATACGTTCCAACGTGTCGAATGTAGAGAAAGTATATGAAGTATTAGATAATGTTTATAAGGAGATGTTCTTGAAGTCGTGTTTCGATAAGCTGTATGACATCAGGAACATGAAAATATCTTACTAATTCACAACCTATTGTAATTGCTTTTATATTGTATTTACTTTTGCATGTTACCTCAAGTATTGTTAAAAGAATTTTGTGTTATGAATAGAAGTTTATTTTTATGTTATGAATAGAAGTTTATTTTTGTGGGGGGTTTTTTTATGTTATGAATAGAAGTTTATTTTTTAGGTTGATGTAGGTTATATTATAAGGGAGATAATGTCAAAAATGTTGGTTGTTTAATGCTGTCGTTTTTTGACTGATCATAGTCGTTTAAAAGACTCCAGTCTTTTTCGAAAACAACGACTTTAGTCATTTAAAAAGACCATAATCATTTCCTAAAATGACTATAATGTATTTAAACGACTATAGTGGTTTCATAAAAAAAGATCTAGTCATTTTAGTCGTTTTCCTACACAACTGGAGTTGTTTAAAAAGATTTCAGTTGTTTATATATATTTTTTAGAAACATATAGGTTGATGAAATATAAGATGATAATCAAACTTTTAACATTATAGCTTGTGTTTGGTTTCGATTTATTAGTTTAAAATGAAATAAGAAGACAAATTCCATTATAAACAATTCATCGTGTTCCGCTAACAATGTTCAAGAATACAGTATTTAATTTCTAAGTATGCAATTTACAATAACTATAACGAAATATAAGGTGACAATCAAATTTTCTAAGTATGCGACTTTTAATAATGTATAACAAAAACGCCCGCAGTTAGCTTGAATTTTTTTTTAGATTCACATCTCATTTTTTTTATTTATTATATACTCATTTTTCTTTACAGTTTTAAATGAAATGTTTTGAATTATGTCCAACATTCATAAAACAAATTATATATGAATTATGACAAAAACTCACAACATACAGCATACATTGTAATATATAAGGGATTGTGCTTGATTACACCGTTTCTAATATACTGCATTCGATTTTTAAGTATATGACTTGCAATTGATTTCAATAAGTCAAACAATCATGTATAATGAAAGAGTCAATTGAACTTTAACCTTTTAGAATGTGTTTTATTTCAACCTATTTTCATTCAAATAGTTATGGAAAGATGAACTTTGTTATATACAACTCATCGTGCTCAACTATACGTAATTCAGGTATATCGTATTCAATTTTAAGTATACATTTTACAATTGATTTTGATAAGCTAAAACATCATTTAGAATGAAAAGACGTGCCAATCAAATTTTTAACTTTTAAACCGTGTTTGATTTTAACATATTTCATGTAAAAACGTATAGGAATGTGAACTTCATCATCATACTCTCGCATTCAATTTTTTATGCATACGACTTATATTTTGCTTTCGATGAGTTAAATCATCCTGTATGATGAAAGATGAGATATTAATTAAACTTCTAAATTTTCAGATTGTGTTAGATTTCAACTTATTTCATTTAAAAAGAAGTATAGGAAGATGAAGATCATTCTATACAATTCATTGTGCTTCATTGCGTACAATTCAAGTATATCATATTCGATTTTTAATTACATGACTTGCAATTGATTTTGAATAAGTTAAACTATCATTTATAATGAAAGACAAGATGTCTTTCAAACCTCAAACATTTTAGTATATGCTTGATTTCAACCTATTTCGTTTCAAAACATCTAGGAAGGGGAACTTCATCATTGTACTCCATTACACATTGATCAGAGTATATCATATTAGTATTTAAACATACGACTTACAATTGGCTTCTTTAAGTTCATGTATATTGAAAGACGAGAGGCTAATCCAACGTGTAACCTTTTAAACCGTATTTGATTCCAATATGTTTCGTTTAAAAACATAATGGAATATGAATTTTGTTATACAATTTTATCATGCTCCACTGCATATTGTTCAAGTAAACAGTATTTGATTTTAAGTACATGACTTACAATTAATTTTGAATAACTTAAACTGTTATGTATAATAAAAGGTGAGATACCATTTAAAACTCGAAAGTGATAAATGAAAAACGACTACAGTCGTTTAAAATGATCGAGTCGTTTTTCTTTTAAAAAAAGTTTTTGATCATGACCTAAATGGATTTTCTATTTTCCGTGAGTTGGTGGCGACCATGCAAATCACAACCAGGTGCTTTTATGAAATGAAAAACGACCGCAGTCGTTTTACCCTTAAAACGACTGCGGTAGTTTATAACGATTATAGTCATTTTTCGTTATTCAGTTTTTCTTGAAAACGTTATAGTAAGGGTATTATAACCATTTTATATAGAGTGTATTTAAGACATATCAACAATATAGAAAAGGATAATTTAGACATTTTAACATAAAAGAGGCCTTAAAAACTTATTTGGAGTAAGTTAGGCCTCCAAAAGTTTTGAAGGGCTCGACTCGGTCATTTTTAAAAATCCCCCCACTTTCTTCCTCTTTTGCTTCTCTTTCTTTTTAGCTTCTCTTTACATATTGATTGCACAGTTCACTAATATCTGTTTCTCATGCCTCTGGTTTCTTAACCTCTTCTCTTAGCCTCACATTTGTTTCTCCCTTTTCAAACTCCCTTTTCGTTCTTCTCTTAAACTCCTTAAAATCTATGGAGAACCATAAAAAATCCCCACGAATTTCGTTTATCTAAGCCCCATTGTAGTTTTGACAGAGCTGATTAAAGGAGGGAAAAGAATAAAGCAACTCAACAGTTTTATTTCGACGATCCTTCAAATCCCCAACTTAGTCGAAAATGGTAACTTTAATCGCTGCATCAATTAGCGCCCAAATCCCCACATGCGGTCTTGATAAAATCTCATGAAGCTCATCGGAGTCCATCCCGAATCTTCTCCTCTTCTTAGCTAAAGAAAATTGAATAGAAAGATGAATCAGAATAAAATTATGGACTGCAACACTGCATCTGATAATTTCTGAGTTTAGTACATGGAAAACGACGTCGTACTTAAGGTTTTATGTTTTAATTTAAATGGACTGTTTGAGCAGACGAAAAATTCATATCTGATTTTGTCCTTACTCGAACACAACACAGAGGATGAAGGAGGAGAGCCTTGTGTATTTCTTCTCTCTTTAAGTTTACAAAAAAGGGCATAGAAATTTGAGGATATCTACTATCTTGATACTGTAGAGTATTTGCGATCATCTTCGGAATTAAACTTTGATTCTTTATAGTTTTTCCCCTACAGGTAAAGTTAGGAACTTGAGGTCATACATTCAGGGAACTTGAGGTCTCACATTCAATGTACGACTGTACTCTCCTTCCAAAGCAAGCTGAGGTCGTTCCTGACAAGGAAAACTTTGGTAGAATTTTCTACAATCAAGCAGTGATGTCTGCTAAAGGCATTCCCCAAATTGCATTGGTTAGATTATTGCACAGCTGGTGGGGCTTACATACCAGCAGTGGTGGATGAAAGTATAATGGTCAAAGGAAATGGAACTATATTTCTTGCAAGACCTCCACTTGTAAAGGTTATTTAAGTTCTTCTGGTATTTGAAAATGCTTCATATTTTAATCGTTAGAACTCTTACATGTTGTATCTTTTTGTTCCTCATCCTCTTCTGGTTGTTTTCACTACGCATCTTGAATCTTCATTGTCCAAAAGTACTCTAGAATTACGACTTTGTTTTTGTTAGGTTTGAAAAGTGTAATTTACAATTCTGTAAGACAAAACAGACTTAATTGTAAAAATATAAAAGTCAGGGACTCAATTGAACAATATTGTAAAAGTAAGGGACTTGGGTTACAATTTTGTATAGTTAGTTAGGTTAGGGTTTCAACTTGGAACTAGGGTAAAGATGTGTTAGAACTTCGCTGGATGTTCGCTTGACCATTGCTTGACCGTAAAAAACAGAATAGACGTCGCTCGCTTTTCGTCCCCGTCTCGCTTAAGCGAAGTGCTATCGCTCGCTTTTCACTGTAATGTCGCTCAAGCGACTGTGTTATCCAAAAAACCTTATTTTTCATTTTTTGAGATTGTTACACGACCCAAGACACTTTTTGCCCCCAAGTATAAATAGAACAAGTCTGGGACGTGAAACAGAGATTGCCATATTGTGCCTCACATTGATATCATCTTCAAAACATATTCAAGAGATCCAAGGGTGCTTCAAATAGTGAATCAATCATATTATTCTTGTCATCTAGGCAATCTGACTTTGGGTAAAACATCAATGTTTGTGAAGATAAAACACTGTGATTCCTTAATCTGTTGAGGAACGGACTCTCTCATTGTAGGATTGAGAGAGTGGACGACAAGCGCAGTGAATTGGACAAGAACAGATGGTTCTTGAAATTTCACTTGGTAGTAAAATCAGCTAAAGACCAGGAGGCTGTAGTGAACATTAGATTGGGCTATAGGAGGTAGATCAGGAAATCTAGCAAGAGGCTAGGAGTATCTACAACAGTAGATTGTGAGACTAGAACAGCGAGTTTGATTGGGTATGGAGGTATAGTGGACATTACTGATTTGGTCCCGGAGTTTTACCCACATTGGGATTTCTCCATCAATATAACGTGAGTTGATTTGTTTGTTGTTTACTTTAAATTATGGAAATTGACAGTTCAACATAGGATTAGCTGGATGTGTATGTTTAACCACATAGACAATAATTAATTAGTGACTTGTTGCTGTTAATTGTATTAATTCTGCACGTAAGGTTAAATTGGTAAACGAAATGTAAATTTGGTAATGCTAAAATTTAAATTTGTCATTACAACGTGTTAGGTGACTTTTCAAGTAATATCCGAAATGTTCCTAGAATTTTCAATTGGTATCAGAGCCAAACTTCGTGTCTTGACCTTACATAGTCTAGATGAGTACTTCGTTGAGTGTGCCGTCCACTTTGATGGTAGTAATTACGCATATTGGAAAGTTAGAATGAGGGCATTTTTGAAATCTATGGATGAGTGAGTCTGGTAGAGCGTAATGAATGGATGGTCTGTCCCTAATTCCACTATTGATGGTGTTGTCACTCCCACGCCTGTAGAAAATTGGTCTAGAGCACAATTGGATAGCTGTAACTATAATAACAAGGCCATACATGAATTGGTTATGGTTGTATCCTCCAAGAAATTTAGGAGAGTATCTATGTGTTAGGTAGCTAAGGATGTTTGGGACATTTTGCAAACCACACATGAGGGAACT